TCAGCGTGCGGAAGGTGCATGCATAATGGGAGAAACTGAGGCTCCGTGGAAATTTGAGATAGAAAAACCTTCCTGGACAAGTCTTGTTCTAAACACCATGGAGTGCGAATTCGACGTGGCGAATTTGGAGGGCGGCGAATTTGCTCCGCCCTTTCCTCCAGCATAAGAAATTAAGCTGGTCTTCCGAGTGCGCACTAGCCCGAGGGCTTAAATCCCAGAGTGGACTGTTAACCGCCGCCAGGACTCGGTGAGTTGACCCCAACTGTGGCTTCAGACACATTCTGACATCTCCACCCAACAAGACATTTTAATCTGAGACACAGAATTAGTAAACGTGCAGCTGACCCTCAGTGGGCTTCCACTGACATCTCGGCCCTGCTAAAATCCAGTGGGAAAGGGGACAGCAATTTCCTCTAGTCTTTTAGACAGATCCTCAAACTCCTGTAGCTTCTCTTTATAATGCGGAGAAGAGGTAGCCCCTTGTAAAGTAGATTTACAAGTGGGATATAAAGGAATTCAGGTTCATCAACTCTTTTCAGAATGGGGGAAATACATTTCTTTGAAGGAGTTTGTGCTTTGTTTCCCCGATATTACTAGGTTTATATCCTGACCAACCCACAGGTTCTAGAGAAAGATGGATCATTAAATTCAACAACCTTTCCCCCCCTTTTTTATTAAACAGGCACATCATGACCATTATGTTGACATTTGATTAGCTATTAGTTTGTTACTAAGAAGGAGAACTGGATTCTTGACCTAATTCTATCATTCCTTTCCTTTCACAAAGTGGCTTTACACTCAAGTTGAGTAAAATCTTGAGCTGTGCTTTTACTGTTCAGGGTAGATAGATACGAAATGTTGTTAGGTTTGGTTGTTTAAATTTACTGTTGAAAATTTTAAAGTGGCTGGGAATAACTTTGTGTTGTCTGTCCACATGTTAAATGACTATACTTCTCCTAAGTTGATGAAATCAGACAGGATTTTAAAGGAAGAATCATACATTGTTTTAAGTATGGATATTTTCCCCCTCTAGGTATGTTAAATCAACTTGGAGTGTGTATGTAATTTCTCAGCTCCTTGCTAGGCAGGTGAAGCCACTGCCCCAGCTTCTTTAAGTCCAGCCTTCCCTGATTCATACTTTCATCATTTCCTCATTGCCACCCCACCCAAGGAGAGCCAGCCAGCTCAGTTCAACATTCACGTCTATCTGTGCGTGAGCCCTGACTTGCCTTCTCAGCATTATTAACTACAGTTCTAAATACAAATCATGTGCTCCTGTCAGACTAGCTTCTTGCTTTCCCTTGAAGGAGGCACAGTACAAATGATTAGTCAGGAGACAGCTGTTAGCCACAGTCTACACCTTCCTCATGCTGATCCCCCAGCTGGCAAGCATCTCCTTCATTTCTATCTGGCAAAAGCCTCCCCACCCCACAAGCCTCAGCACAGGGGCTGCATTCTCTATGATCTTTCCAATGGAGGGAGGTCTTTTCGATAGTTGAACCCCTACAGCACATAATAAGCTCTCCACAAAAAATTGTTGAATAAATGATATTTCATTTTCCCTTCATCCATCCGATCAGATATTTATTGAACATCCAGTATATGCCAAGCACATGCAGTTGGTAAAATCTAGCTCTGAAGCTTATTATGGTATTGCGGTTCTCTGCCCTCATGGGGAAGGATATATTCTTATCATCCAGGAACACTTCTTGTTGTCATTACCAACAATTCCATTATGTCTTAAGTTGCCTCCTCATTGGCAAATCTAGCAGTGCATGTCAGAGTTTTGCATTTGTGCACTAAATACACGTCTAACCTTGTCTTATCCTTTCTATTTTTATTTGCCTCAGTTCCTCACTTAATCTTTCTGTATTGTATGTATTTTTATAGCCACCTGAAGTCCTCTTGAAATGAAGCAGAGTGCTAATAAAGAGCATACAATTAAAAAAAATCAAGTAATTGCCTCCAAATCATAAATCCACATGATGAAATCTCACTGAAAGAGCTCTTGCTACAGAGGATTCAGTAAAATAGAGGTCTTTCTTGGACTCTGTTCAAGGGGCTAAGTTTCTGAGGTAATTATAGGGTGATCTTACTTATAACGTGGTCCCACAGATATGGTCTTAAGAAAATTAATTAGGAAACGCTACTATAATCATTCTGGTGGCTTATGGTATTTGAAAACTGCATTGTGAAATCTAGGACTGTTTCACAGAGGCTGGGAAACATGAGGGAAAAACATGTCTATTTATCTTGAAAAACTTTTTCTATCATATTGACTGATTTTTTTTAAAAGCCAAGGTCACTGGTGAAATGACTAATCAACTTTAGAGCAATAAGGAGAGCAAAGCTTAAAAAAATATAGAGATGCTACTGGTGAGAAATGACTCCTGAATGAGAATGATTTAGAGAAGGCCTTCAAGAAATCAGTACCAACGGGGTTTACCAAAGCATGCCTTCTCTCTTCGCATGCTGCAGAAACTGCATACATCTGCCACCAGACAATGGTTACGCTAGTACCTACACCTTACTAGTAAAAGGAAGCTCTTTCACTCACGTTAGGATTTTGTTATTTTTGTATTCATATTTCTCTTTGAACACTTTTAAGGAATACAGCCCCATCCCATCTGTCTGGATGTGTCTCAGGTTTAACAGGTTATATGTAAACTAGGCAGATTTGTTGAGTCCTAAGACCAGTTCGAAACTTTGTTTTCACAAAAATTACTGATAGCGAATTTAATCCCCAAGGATGTATTTCACACACCAGGCACTGTATCTTTATGGTTAATCTTAGGCGAGAGAAAAATGGCTTTGCCAAGCCTTAAGTTAAAATGAAAAAATGACCTCAGGAAACCAGAGCTCTAAACACTTAATATAGAGGAATGAAAAAGAAGATCTGGAAACAGTAATTATTTGAATTTAAATGGCATACATTGGCTATGGGTGGGATATGCAGTTTATTAAAAAAAAAAAACTAGTTTCAGTTGATCTTTTAAAAAATATTATGTTAAAGCCCAGGGTATCAACCAAGAGGACTTGTCAGGTTCGGTTGTTTTATCTACATTTATCAGGCTCTGGTGCTGCTTGTTCCCTGGGCTGTGAGCCTCCAAGGACAGATGTTACATTTCTTTTTATTCGCATTGCTTAAGACTTGATACATTCTTGATCAGTGTTAGTTTTGCATAAAAATGTGCTTTTGCCTCCTGTTTATAATCCTGAAACATGCCAAGGTGGCACAAACCTCAAGCTTTAAGAAAGAATAGACTTAAACATTAGTTGATGTTCTGGAAAACTTTTGGCATAACTCTAGATCCAGGAGACAGAGAGAGCAAAGAATTTGCTACTGCGCCTCCCTTTCGGGAAATTCTCACAAAGATTTTAGCTTGATCCAAATTGTGCCTTCACATACATGCGTGCACATCTCAAGGCAGTGTTGGAATCCCTGTAACCCAGGACTAGAATGCATAGACCATGTGTTTTTTTTCTTGTTGCAAATGTTCTCTTCCAGCTTGTTTCAGAGAAAATACCTTTAAGAGCCCCTCTATGGCCCAGATTTAGACCTTACCAGATTTTTCTCTGGGCTTCAGTGAAACTACTTTGGGAAATAACAGGAAAAATACACATCTAAAAGTGAGTTACTCCAGAGGAATAAGGTTCAGAAGTGAAATGTGACCTCATGGAATGCAGTTACTAAGTAGCTGTGCTTCAATATTTTTGTTTTCAGAGCAGCACCCACCAATCAAGTGGTTGCATATCTCACAAAACTACAGAATTTATAATTTTAGAAATCTGAAGTAGAGTTTGCAATGTGATCTCAGTGGCTGGGTCACTTCGCCTTGTAAAGCTTTTTTATCTGATCATGAGACAAACAGCCTACTTCTTCAAGGCATACTAGTGCCATGAAATCATGCTCCTACTTTGCCCTCTTTCATCATATCACCAGGAGCTTAGAGTCTGGTATAAGAGAAGGCATGACAGAGAGTTAATTTTTGCCAATGCCCTTCTGGCCTTCACTGCAAGAGATGGTTATTCAGTTTGTTTTTTTTTTTCTGGGCATTTAAGTAGAGCTTTGATGGTGCTTCTCACCATATTATTGGGTCTGCATGACCGCTTTATAGTGCGTCTGAAATCTTTGGGGTCATGGTCTCAGAGTCCCTGACCTTTGCTGTGTCCTAAAGTTCTAGTTGGGAGATTGTGAGAACCTTGGCGAAGGACAAGAGGCATGCATCTCCATGAATTTGTTTCTGTGAGATTTCAGGACAAAATGTGGCTTGCTGAGGAAGTGCCACGTGCCACCTAGCCTCAGGGAGCAGCTCTCAGCCCAGCACGCTGAAACAGAGCTTTGCCCTTGTGGTCTCAGGTGGTTGAAATGCTGCCTTGTGCCCACCCCTGCCTGCTTTGGCACATCTCCAGGAGGAGCTGCAGCCTCAGTGTGGTCCAAGAAGTTTACTCCCTGCTTCTTGGGGCCTTAGTAAGAAGCGAAAAGGTTCAACCAGCAAAGCGAAGGCCTGGGAAACGTTTGCTGCCATCAGCTCTGATGGTTGCACCTAAGGTAGAACTTCTTGTAGCTTCTTGTTTAGCTTTTTTGTTTTTGTTTCTTACAAGGGGACCAGCTATGGGACCTGGGTTAAGCCCTTCAACAGAACCATTCTGAAGAGCAGAAGTGGCGAATGACAGGCTATGACTGGGGACTGACTTTGGGGAAGGCTGGGTTTTTGCAATGAGAGCCAAAGACGTTTCCACCTTCTAGCCCACAGGTTAAGTTACTGAAAATGAATCACCATCATTTCTACACATTTCTTGTGTGTTTGCTCCTACTCTGGAGAGTAATCTAACTCATCATTGGCAATCAGGGCCTCTGAGTTCTGTTTGTGTTTGCTTTTGCTCTTCGCCTTGCTGCTCGTCTGGGTGTTTGCCTGTGCATCTGACATCTGCTGGTAATAGAAGCCTTTGTCTTCGGCAGGCCCGCCCCAGTTCTCCTGGCTCTCACCCTCTGTGGCATAGGAGAAACCTTCTTCCACCGAGAAGGGGTCGTCCACGTCGTAACGCTGGTACGTGCTTTGGTGCAGGGCTTCTTCGCGGGCGCTGATTTCCAGGGTGCTGTTCCAGATGCCGTACCCAAAATAAATGAGCATACCTGTAGGTGGGAGGTGGGGGGAAGCACAAGTGGGATAAGCAGTTGCTTTGGGATCTATGGGTCAAGCAGGGAGCTCACTCTCAGTCGTGAAAGCAGAGCTGGTGCTGGATGTGTTTTCTTTGGTCTGTACAGTGTACTGAAAAGACTCGAATTAGATGCTGTTTAAAAATTGGGAGATCTTGCATTAAGCAACCCATATTTACAGCTTCCCCTAAAAAAGTCAGAAGGACTGACAACACTGTACCCACATTCCGATATGGAAACGTTTGGCTGGAGATGAGAACTGGCTGCCTCTTTAGTTAGGATATGGGCTCTTGAGGTCACCTCAGTCCCCCCCTCCCCCGTTGACATCTAGCTCACTGTACTCATGTAGGTGCTCGCCAGGAATTTGCATTTTCTACTCTGGATTAAATAGTTATGGATCACCAGCGGTGTATTCCCAACCTTCTCATAGCATCTTATTATCCCATACCTGCACTTAGGGACTCCATCTTTTATTTCACCACGTAGCAACATGCATATATGATCCTATGATTTACTTTGCCATTTTTCACTCACCAAAGTCATGATACATTACTGCCACTCAGCTGTCCACTTTCATCTGTGGACTCTCACAGTGTCTAGTGCATGCCACTGTTTCGGCCCTTAGGGTATCTGTCGTGTGCTTATCTGCACAGGGTGCTTCTGTTTTATAGACTCTGCAGAAAACTGGCACTTAATGTTTGTTGAAGGAATGAATGAGAACTCCTGATACGCATGCAGTGTCCCGTGCAACCTTCTCATTCCAAGCGAAGGAAAGAAACCTGCCTTCCTAGTTAATATGTAGCATTAATATGGGCTAATGTTTCATTTCTATTAGAATTTCTAGGAAAAGATATATGAAAATAGCTTGAGAGACCCCATTTTCTACCTTGAAAAGCCCATGAAGGCTCAGGGCCTGGAACGCTGAGAACCGTAGCCTTGGAGGCCATGGGGCATGATGGTTAAGAGTGCGAGGTCTGGGTTCAAATCATGCCTCTATCACTATTAGCTGTGTAACCCTGGACCAGTTACTGAGCCTCTTTGTGCCTCAGCTTTCTCTTCTAGGAAACCATGAGAGTACTGTACCTATACCTTGGGGTTGCTGTGAGGAGGAAACGAGATAAGCAGTGGTTCTCAACCCTGGCTGCACCTGGAGGGCCACCTGGGGAGTTTTTGCATAATCCTGATACCTGAGCCTCATCCTCTGTAGAGATTCTGATTTAATTGGTCTGCAGTGTGACCCAAGCATAGGTGTTTTTAAAGCTTCCCAGGTGATTCCAGTGGTCAGCCAAGGCTGAGAACCGCTGAGATCAGGAACATTAAAGCTCGTGATGTGGGAATTCCCTGGCGGTCCAGTGGTTAGAACTCGTCACTTTCACTGTCATGGGCCCGGGTTCGATCCCTGGTCAGGGAACTAAGATCCCACAAACTGCGTGGCGTGGCCAGAAAACAAACAAAAAAACAACTCCTGGTGCGCATGCTTCACTGCCAACTTTGGCCATTTTGTGGCCTGGCCGCTGGGGGCCCCTCGGTTATGCACCCTCTTTCCAGGCCCCAACGCCCTCTTCTCGGTGGCACTAGCCTCTTTGACTTTGCTAACCCTGTGGGCATCTGCTGGGCTGTTTGCTTAGAACCACAAGGTGAGGCCTGCTTTCCGCTCTGGTGCTTGAGGTATCCTGCTTCCTTTTGAATTTGCAGTGTGTCTTTTTAAGCTTGGATTTCCCCCCGCCATCCCCCAGTGAAATCAACTTTCCAGGAGCCAAAGTAAGCAGAGATTTATAGTCCTAATTGGTAATAAGTCCTGGAGTTAATCATTTGCAGAGGTAGCTATTCTGAAATAGCGACTTCATTTTTTCTGAGCATGGATCTTTACTCTTTCTTGTCTGGGGGTGGGTGTGGCCATGGGGGATAGTTATTATCCTTGTGTAGAACAAGGCACCAAACTGAGGCCTCTCTTAAAAGGGCCAGCATGCTGCTTCTTGGAGAATGCCTCTGTTGGAAGCATGTTTGTTTCAGGAGACTAGGTTTATCGTCAGGCACACACCTCCTTATGCCCAATTTTTTTTTCTTGCTATCTTTTCCCTTAGACATACAGGCAGGTGCCAAAGCTTGTCTTCTCCTTCAGCTTGGTATCTATTACATCAATTCTGTCCTCTTTGATCCCCTTCTCGGATCCTATTTATAAGCATGTTATTTCCCTACTAAACTTAATACCATTTTTTCTTTCCCCCTTTGCCCCTAGCTTCTCTCTTCTGTACTATACGAGTCATCATTCGAGCACTGGTTTGACACCTATTCTGACAAACCTTCCCCTGTCCCCACCAAGTATTGGGGTGTCAGGTGGATCGGTTTATGGGAATTCTCTGGGAGCCTTGGTGTGATTACTCATAGGATCATAGATATTTAGAGCTGGAAAAGAGTCTATGTCATTTACCTATGTGAATACCTTCATTTTACAGATGAAGAAATGGAGGCTGGGAAAGACTGAGTCACAGCAGTAGCATTCCATGAGGATAGAGAGAAGGCTCTAGCTTATTCACCCCTTCACACCCCCTCCACTGCTCTGTTATAGACTGTGCCTAGTGCAAAAATATCTGGTACAAGTTAGGTTCTATCTGGGGAGTGGCTGGGCCTGGAAGGAACATGAGTATGTGTGTGTGTGTGTGTGTGTGTGTGTGTGTGTGTCTGTGCGCAAATGTGTCGACTGTGATTACTTTGGGAAAGCAATCCATGGAAACCTACTACATAAATATTTATGGGCCTTCTAATGTTTGCTCTGAGCCCCCTACAGTTTCAAAGGTGTGTCACTTTGTCTTCAAAAATACATTTCAAATATGAGTGCTGTGAACCAAGAATCGACTGTGTGTATCGGCCTGACAGCATGAACAGCCGGCTTGGGCACATGCGTTCTCCTAGGGCTTGGCGTTCTGTCTGCCTTTATCCTTCTCCCTGGCCCTTGAATCAGTTCAGGAAAAGTGGTGTGAGGCAGAGAAGGACTGGAGAAAAGGAAGAATGGAGGGGGACAAAGGAACAGAGGGGAACAAATGAGCGGGGGCGGAGAGAAGAGAGAAACATGTATTACCATCTGTCACACATAAACAAGGGCTTTGTGTTGGAGCAGTAAACAGAGCTGCTAAAAGCCTCCTGTGTAGAAGCAGGGTGTTTTGTTTCTGCTCCTTTTTTCAGTTGGCCTAGAGAAGGAAGCATGAGGTCGTTTCTGAAAAATCTGTGGGGAGCTTCTGGGAATCCTGAATCATCTGAACAAAACTTCACACAACCCCTCTGGGTGCTGAGGTCCTACAGTGATGCATCCTTTATGTCACACCTTTCTCCCAAGGAACGCAAAATGTTTTACAAATGTTGTCTTGTTTAGACTCCTCCTGGCCTGTTTCAGAATGGGGTGTGTGTGTGTGTGTGTAGGTTAAGGTTATGTGCGTTTCACAGGCTGGAAACTGCGGCACAAGGCGAAATACAGGACTTTCCACAGCTACACAGTCAGTGTTTAGGTAGTGTTCAGACTGTGGATCCTTCCGGGTCCTCCATGTCATAATCCAGGCTGCTTTCAATTGTTATTTCTCACACCTACCAGGGGTGGCTGGGAGGTATAGACTAATTGGAAGCAATTTTGCTGAACTTTACTTTTGAAGAATTTAAAACATACAGAAGTGGAGAGAATAGTATAAAAAAGCCTATGTATTCATGCTAGCCCGCTCCCTCCCCCCTACCACTTTGTCTTTAGATTATTTTGAAACAAATCCCTTTCATCCTGTTTCGTCTGTAAATGTTTCAGTATGTATCTGTAAAATAGACTCCTTTAAAAACCTTAACTTAGTATCATTATCACATCTAAAAACTGATAATAATTCCTTAATATGGAGCTTCTCTGGTGGTGCAGTGGTTGAGAATCTGCCTACCAATTCAGGGGACACGGGGCCCTGGTCTGGGAAGATCCCACACGCTGTGGAGCAACTAAGCACGTGCGCCACAGCTACTGAGCCTGCGCTCTAGAGCCCGCGAGCCACAGCTACTGAAGCCCTCATGCCACAACTACTGAAGCCCGCGTGCCTAGAGCCCATGCTCTGCAACGAGAAGCCACCGCAATGTGAAGCCCGTGCACCGCAGCAAAGAGTAGCCCCCGCTCGCCACAACTAAAAAGAAAGCCTGCGTGCAGCGACGAAGACCCAGTGCAGCCAAAAATACATAAAGAAATAAATTTATTAAAAAAAAGAAATTTATTTTAAAAATTCCTTAATATCATCTGATATCCAGCAGCATTAAAATTTCCCCAAATTATTATGTCTGGATCAACTCTTCACTTATTGAAGCTATACACTTATTTCAATGATGCTATCATTGCTTGAAATAGTTTTTGGGTCCTGTCATTTAGGTTGTCACTGGGATTGGGTTTACTCTTTTGTAAACCCTTACAGATGGCAAAGTTTTATCTTTTGAAAGTAGATTTGCTTTTAGCATAAGCCAGAAGTCATTTGGAACCAAGCCTCAAGAATAAGATGGCTGATTGATAAATAATATTACTTATTCTATTTGGGTACTTAATTCTCCAGTTCCATAAAAACTTAGATCCACTGCTTTGTAGTTATACATCTGATACCTGAATGAATGAAAGGCAGGCATGATGTTAAAAATCAGAAGGGAATCAGCTTTTGTGTTGCAGCAGGGTCTTGGAGGCCCCCCTGCTGGGCTGGAGTTATTGTTTTACTTGCTGGATCGTGGAGGGGAGGGGCCACTCAAGGTAGTGACTAGTTGGCAGCAGGCACAGACGTGTTTCAGTATTTTAACAGCAGACACGGCTGTACTGGGCACCCAGTAATGGCAATGAGTCCCGTGAGAGGCTGTTTGCGCTGAAGGGACATATTCAAAGGGAGGCTCTGG